AGCCACTCCTCGGAAGGAAGGTTGGGCAATCCTACTTCCGTAGTGATACTGCCTCGGAAACCCAAGGAGGGGTCACTATGAGTCGGGGCCGACTCGACGGCATATAACAACAACAACAACAACAATCTTGGATTTATCATTGCCTCTTAGAGATATCTTAATTGCAGTACAAGAGTGAATGTTCGTCTTGGAAACAAATGCCAAATCCTTAAACTGATCAATAACTACCACTTTTAGACTGATCATCAAAGAAAACATTCTAGCCCATAATGGTAACTGGCATTGGCCACAGATCTCATGATGGCTTGCATGTGATAGTGACAGTCTAAGCAAAATATTACTTTCTTCAGGAAACATTAATTCAAGTTCACTTTGTTTCATTTTTCTTTGAATTTGAAAAATATTTAAAGAAATCTTTAACTACCACCCCTGGTTTTATAAATGCAGTCTCTTAACATTTGTTATAATTAAGGGGGTTGTCTGGAACAATATATGTTTTGTATGCTTTTGTCTTTCTTACCTAATTGACATTACACTCACGTTTGATCTTTTCAATAAAGGCTTATTTTTGCATAATATATTTAGTACCTTCCTTAAGTTGTAACTGAATAGACTCAATTGGCTTGTGATTGAATGAAAGACTAGACTCTATGGTTTTCTAGCTGAATGGGTTACAGGCCTCCACATGCAAAGGCTGTGCCTGGAATTTTAAAATGGGCACTTTCTGTCTTCCAGCTCTGAATGTCACGATAAGTCATACATGTTTAAAGTAAATACAATGATTTCTCCCTCTCTCTCTCTATTTTCTTTAATTGGCTCCTGACCAGTGAAAATAAAGGTGCTGTATTTGTTTCATTGTTAATAATGACTTCAAGATTTTTGATCTGATTATGTGGAGATAGCTTTACCTTGGTCCTGTGTAAATAACATGTATTTTATTATAATGTTTCACATTTTTAAACACGTGGTTTACATAAAATTATGGTATTTAACTATTTTTATGTATATAATAGATAAGATTTTTCTTACGTTTCTGTGTTTTTGGTATGCTAAATAAAGCTATTTTTAAACCCACGAGATTACTTCTGCAATGTGTTTATCAAATTATGGTTTAATACAAACATGCAGCATAAATTCTTATTAATTGTGGGGTTTTCTTTTTGTCATTGCTATCATTAGGTGCCATCGAACCAGTTCTGATTCATGGAGACCCAGTGTACAGCAGAACGAAACACTGCCCAGTCCTGCATCACCCTCACAGTCTTTGCCATGTTTGAGCCCATTGTTGCCGTCACTGTGTCAGTCCACTTCATTGAGAGTCTTCCTCTTTTTCTCTGACCCTCTAGTTTGCCAAGCATGATGTCCTTCTCTAGGGACTGGTCCCTGCTTATAACATGTTCAAAGTACTTGAGACAAAGTCATGCCAGCCTCACTTCCAAGGAGTATTCTGGCTGTATTTCTTCCAAGACAGATTTATATGTTCTTCTGGCACTCCATGGTGGATATTCAGCATGCTTCGCCCACACAAGGCATCAGTTCTTCTTCAGTCTTCCTGAATCATTGTCCAGCTCTCACTTGTATGTGAAGCTATGGAAAATACTGTGGCTTAGGTAAGGTACACCTTAGTCTTTAAAGTGAAATCTTTGCTCTTGAACAATTTAAAGGCATCTTCTGCAGCAAATTTACCCAAGGCAATACGTTGTTTGAGTTTTTGACTTCTGCTTCCATGGGTGTTGATTGTTGATCCAAGTAAAATGAAATTCTTGACAACTTCAGTATGTTCTCTGTTTATCATGATGTTGCTTATTGGTCTAGTTGTGAGGATTTTCGTTTTCTTTATGTTGAGGTGTAACCCATACTGAAGTCTCTGATCTTCATCAGTAAGTTCTTCAAGTCCTCTTCACTTTTGGCATGCAAGG